AATGTCATCGAAATGAATAGACTAAGCAGTACCATTGAAACAAAATTATTTTCCACAATAGAAAAAAAATGTTTGGTTTCCTAAACCTGCACCCAACGCGGTCAAGTTTACAGCATTTAATTTCACATATAGTTATCACCTGTTGAACTATAAAAACGTAAAAAACCGTCAAATGAGCGACTTTAGAGCTTTGTTTTATCTCTACTAAATTCTACTAATTTGTTTGTTAACTTCTAGGATGAATTCAAATGACTTAATGTTTGAAACGACTATTCATTATCTTCTGCGTCGCCATTCGTCAACAATTAGACTTAATGTTAGGATTTTAAAACTCACATTATAAGTATTATACAGACAAAAACATGGCAGGGTATTTTAATCACTTTTAAACTTCATCTTAGCATAATTTAAGTAAATATGGTAAATAATATTGTCATTAATTTTGCCTGATATCCTTTAAGCAATTGTCTTTTTTTACGTTTACTGTGTAAATTTGAGTTTATTATTGAACTACAAAATTTCTTACATTAATCCGGATATTCATTTTGTTTCATTTTTTGTTGTTCCAACTTGTAATATAATGATGATTTTTGAATGACACTATTAACATCATTTTTAAAAACTTCTCTGCATAATTTTTATTGGACAATTTACTGTTATAACATAATAGTTACTTTTTAAAAATTATTTTTAAACTCTCTATATTTTTCTCGATATTATCTGTAATTTCAATAAATAATCACCGCTTTACCTAGAGTTGAATAATAATTGATTTGTAGACCTATGCATGTTTTATAGCTTTAACCTATTCATGCAAGTATTTCTTATTTTTAACTTTAAGTCTATCGAGTGTCATCCAAAAATGATTGACGTTGTTCTATGCTAGATATCAGAATAGGATATTTTGCGGGGATTCTAATAAATACATTTAGTTTATGTGCTCCTCTATGTTGTAATCATGACATACAATCATTTTCATTCAAGTATATATCTTAATGCATGGCAAATTTGATCAATTATCTTGATTTGACTGTATTATTGATTTCTTTTAAATTATGTTTTTTTCTCGAAAATCTAAAATTATTTTAAGCACACACCTCAGAAAACAAGAAGTACCAAAGCATCAAACGCTAAGTTATGTCATTATATTAAATGACATTTCCCAATATGTTTGACACAATATTCAACAATTGTTCTTCATTTTTATCATATTGAAAATATTTAACGTTTAATCATGTATTTGATTTTCAGTTTTTTCATTCGTTTGAACTATGTATATGCACATCCACGATACATAATAACTTATGTTGGCGTGAGTATTTAGAAAGTATTTTTATGTTGTATGATTTCATAGTAAGAACGCATTAACTCGTGAAAATTTCGAATTATTTCGAAAGTTTATTAACCACAAATACTGTTCCTTTGAAAATTTCTTAATAGTTTTGTTGAATAAATAATTTTAACATAATATTTGAGATTGTTATAAGTATAGGTTATTGTTTTATTTTTTAATTTTATGGAATTATTGCAAAGCCTATGCGCAAGCGCCCAGCATAAGTTCATATTCAAATTGGAAAATATAAATCGCGATTTTCTTTGTATTTTTTGTCAACTGCCCGTATTGAAAAAAAATGAAATCAGAATTTTGATCACAGAGAAGCAACCTGTTGCATCGTCCGCAGCAGAAAGTTTTTTATCAATAAAAAGACGACAAAAACTCCTCTATAGTTGATATTTTATTTTTTAACCCCTTAATGACGTTTTCGGGAGTTTTCTATAAGAGCATATAGGCAAATTAAAAACTGTTCAATAAGAATTTTTTTGTTAAATCTTGGCATGTTGTTAAAATATGAATAACGAAACATTTTAAGCAAAAAGGAATTTGGGGTCACCGTTCTCGTTTTGAGTTATATCAATAGCTGGGCCACAATAGCCGGTTGATCCATTCCACAATGTTCGGTGCCTGGACACTAGAATCATACTCAGTGGTTGGGCAAGTAAACAGTGTATTCTTGGCAGACGGCGCGTAATGCGCACCGACTGATGTGGGCATCTTAGATGTTCGCAAAGGCTGAGTATACTCGTCAAAGCACATTAAATTAAGTGTTAATGTCCGTAGTTTGTTTCAGCCTGCCGGGATAAGGAGTTTTAAAAAATGTCTAGATTTTGCTATTAAAACAAAAGATGCCAGTTGCCATAATCCATGCCCTTGGTTGGTTGAGACCATAGTTCTAAATTGATATACGAAAATATTGTGACAGGAGTGACTCCCCAGAAAAATCTCTGCCCCTGGACTGAACCCGGTATATTAACCAGTTCGCCACAAGTTGGCTCGAGTTACAAGATTCTTGGTTTTAATCTTTTGATATCGTCCATAACTGTACCTGTTCTTGCCATGATGAAAAAATCGCCGACTTCAGTAAATTGAATGCATGAAACACGCCAGCCCTCCCACTTCACACTTCTTAGAAAATGTATCATGAGGTTTTTCATATTGTCACACTTTAAGAAATATTAAAGTTTAGCCCGCTGCCGCCAGCCCGCCCAGTTCACACTGCTAGTCCGCTACACTGCTAGCCCGCCCCCACTTCACACTGCCAGGTAATGTATCATAACGTTTTTATGTTCAATCAATAAAAGTTTTAGATTTTAATCCCGCTGGCCCGCCAGCCCGCCAGTTCACACTGCTAGCCCGCTACACTGCTAGCCCGCCCACTTCACACTGCCAGGTAATGTATCATAACATTTTTATGTTCAATCAATAAAGTTTTAGATTTTAGCCACGCTGGCCCGCCAGCCCGCCCAGTTCACACTGCTAGCCCGCTACACTGTTAGCCCGCCCCAACTTCACACTGCAAGGTAATGTATCATAACATTTTTATGTTCATTAATAAAGTTTTAGATTTTAGCCCGCTGGCCCGCCAGCCCGCCCAGTTCACACTGCTAGCCCGCTACACTGTTAGCCGCCCCACTTCACACTTGCAGGGTAATGTATCATAACATTTTTATGTTCATTAATAAAGTTTTTAAGATTTTTTAGCCGCTGGCCCGCCAGCCCGCCCAGTTTCACACTGCTAGCCGCTACACTGCTAGCCCCCACTTCACACTGCCAGGTAATGTATCATAACATTTTTATGTTCAATCAATAAAGTTTTAGATTTTAGCCGCTGGCCCGCCAGCCCGCCCAGTTCACACTGCTAGCCCGCTACACTGTCAGCCCGTCCAATTCACACTGCTAGGAATGTATCAATAAGGTTTTAAATGTTGAATCAATAAAGTTTTAGATTTTAGCGCTGGCCCGCCAGCACCCGCCCAGTTCACACTGCTAGCGCCGCTACACTGTTAGCCCGCCCACTTCACACTGCCAAGCGTAATGTATCATAACATTTTTATGTTCATTAATAAAGTTTTAGTATTTTAGCCCGCTGGCCCGCCAGCCCGCCCAGTTCACACTGCTAGCCCGCGACACTGTTAGCCCGCCCACTTCACACTGCCAGGTAGTGTATCATAACATTTTATGTTCATTAATAAAGTTTTAGATTTTAGCCCGCTGGGCCGCCAGCCCGCCCAGTTCCACTGCTAGCCCGCTACACTGCTAGCCGCCCACTTGTTCACACTGCCAAGGTAATGTATCATAACATTTTTATGTTCAATCAATAAGTTTTAGATTTTTAGCCCGCTGGCCCGCCAGCCCGCCCAGTTCACACTGCTAGCCCGCCTACACTGTCAGCCCGTCCAATTCACACATCTGCTAGGAAATGTATCATAAGGTTTTAATGTTGAATCAATAAAGTTTTAGATTTTAGCCCGCTGGCCCGCCAGCCCGCCCAGTTCACACTGCTAGCCCGCTACACTGTTAGCCCGCCCACTTCACACTGCCCAGGTAATGTATCATAACATTTTTATGTTGAATCAATAAAGTTTTAGATTTTAGCCCGCTGGCCCGCCAGCCCGCCCAGTTCACACTGCTAGCCCGCTACACTGCTAGCCGCCAAACTTCACACTGCCAGGTAATGTATCATAACGTTTTTATGTTGAATCAATAAAGTTTTAGATTTTAGCCCGCTGGCCCGCCAGCCCGCCCAGTTCACACTGCTAGCCGCTACAACACTGCTAGCCCGCCCACTTCACACTGCCAGGTAATGTATCATAACGTTTTATGTTCAATCAATAAAGTTTTAGATTTTAGCCCGCTGGCCCGCAAGCCCGCCCAGTTCACACTGCTAGCCCGCTACACTGTTAGCCCGCCCACTTCACACTGCCAGGTAATGTATCATAACATTTTTATGTTCATTAATAAAGTTTTAGATTTTAGCCCGCTGGCCCGCCAGCCCGCCCAGTTCACACTGCTAGCCCGCTACACTGCTAGCCCGCCCACTTCACACTGCCAGGTAATGTATCATAACGTTTTTATGTTGAATCAATAAAGTTTTAGATTTTAGCCCGCTGGCCCGCCAGCCCGCCCAAGTTCACACTGCTAGTCCGCTAGACTGCTAGCCCGCCCAGTTCACACTGTTAGCCCGCTAGGCTGCTAGCCCGCCCAGTTCACACTGTTTATCCCGCTAGACTGCTAGCCCGCTCAGTTCATACTGTTAGCCCGCTAGACTGCTAGCCCGTTAGCCCGCGTACTTCACGGACATTGTTTTTCTATATAAAACCAATTGAAATATTACTAAATTTATGGTTTTCAGGTTTTAACTGCACCCTTGCATATTGACTTTTGTCAAATAAGATTTGAATAAATAGATACATAAATCAAGTATAAAGGGTGTAAAACTGTTGCTGACGAAATTGTGCTGAAGGAATTCTAGACACTGTAAAATTGAAATACTTTTTGTTAATTTCTTAAAACAGATTCAATAAAAGGTGTCTCTGTAAACAGATTTCAGCGTTCCAAAACTACCAACATTCTAGCTTTTTCTCGGGCCGAGGATACATTTTACTGGTGGGTAAATTAATAGTAAGTACATGTAGTAATTATTTAAAAAAAATAATTTTACCTTCAATATAATTATTTCTGATAACAACAGGTCTCGTGGCTGCTCGTTCGTTTTCCTTTAAGAAATACCAAACGCCGTCCGTAAATAAATTCACCGGAAGTTGTCGTACTGTCACACCGTCATGTCTGGAAAAAAGAGGAAAATAAGTCGTCTGCTTCAAATAATGCTGTATTGTTAAGCAATACAAATATGAAATTTTTCATTATTTTTTACTAATGGGTTCATAATCACGTGGTCTGTTGTTTTGAAAATAACATACAACGCCCACATTTTTTTTTATATAACTTCAATTTGTTTATTTATACAGGCCATATTACAGTCGACATTACGGCGCGTAAGCAAGATAAACAGCATTTCAAGACTCGCAGAAAAAATTTCAAACGTACGGTACACACATTGCTTATGTATGAAAACATTGTAATAATGTTGGGCAAGTTAAAAACGAACAATCAGCCAAAATTAAGTGGCGCGGCGTGCCGAGTTGTTAACGCTTCTGACTAGTAATCTATGGATTGCTGACCACGTGGGGCAAGCCGTTGTGTCCGATAGCATTAAACTTTACACTCGGTTAGTTCCAGGGAAGAATTTGAGATTACAGCTTCCAACGCAATCGAACTAGAATAAACTAACGTATATTTAATCATCAAAAACCTTATTGCCCACCCTATAGCACCCCTTTTTCCCAAAGCTGTTTGGGCCCAAAATTATTTTTTAAATAAAATGCCGACAGAATGATTCAAAATAAGACTCTTTAATAAAAATTTTAACTAAAAACTTTTTAAACTAAAAGAAATAACCTTTTACTGACTTACTCTTTTTAACATTATTTTTTGAGCACTATTTAAAAAAAAAACTAACTCAGTGGTAAATTCTTTTTTTAAATGTATGAATTTATTTTACCTATCTTAAAAGGGAACCATCACCCAGAAAATTACTAACTGGGGCCACCCCCACTAATATAACGATAGGTTGCTTTGTTATATGAAAATAAGATCTTAAATTATCACAGCGTTTTTTCCATGATGATGGACAAACTATTTTCAAAAAGGAGATGCAATATTGCAATGTTTATTGTGATCATCTTTTTAAACCAGTCTGCCACCGCAAAAGAATGCTTATGTTAGAAATATACTTGACACCGAATCGGTCGTCAATAAAGGCAAAATGGCTGTTATTTTTTCAAAATGGCCGCCAAAATTCAACATCTGCATCATTTGAAGTATGCATTTCAAATTAAAGATAAATTTAGAACATAAAGTGATGTGCTGACCTGTACTTAATCATCGACTGCAGCTTTTCTTCGTATCGATCTTCTAAGTTCAATTCCTTCCGTTTATTACTTTCCTTTTCGTTTATATATTCCATTCGCATATTTCCGTATAGATATTTCCAAAATAGCCGCGATCTCTCCGTGGCATACAGAACAAGGAATCCTGTATTCAGATGGGAGTTGGGGACAATGTTAACGATTATATCAACACCGAACTGTATAGACGGGCTAAGATTCGGTACTGGGTTCTCAAACCAGACTGATTTCTCATCGAATACCAGTAAATTTATACCAGCACGCAGAAGCCCATTTATCAGCTGTAACCTACGAAGAACGCAAGCATCTTTATCTTTTCTTATATCCGCGTAGTCTCCCTTTGAAAGGCTAGGTTGTAGAGCAACAACGTTCAAATCCGGCCATGCATTTAGCAAAGAATGTCTTATGCTTAGATCTCTGGCAACAAAAAGCACAGATTTATGTAAATTGAAATATTTTGTGTTGCATAACCAACTGTTTACAAATGGTAGACAACTCTTGCAAACAAAATTCACAAGGATGAAGTTCGAGACCGGCGCCATCAGCGATATGTATTTTGCTTTGTTGATAATTCTTGTAAATGTTGCATTCGTTTCTCTTAAATGTCCTTCATATTCAAGAGCCTGTCTAAAAGCGTTTAACTTTTTCTTCACAGATTTATCTATCACTGGAGCAGAGTCCTTTGTTTTTTCATCAACAATACCTTTAGTGTTGTCATCAACAACACCAACCTCTACAGTATCATCATCATCATCATCATCGTCGTCGTCATCATCATCATCGTCGTCGTCATCATCATCATTAACATCATCTGTGTCTTTTTTACTATTTTGACTAATTTCGAAATCATTTCCATTTTTGTTTTTGATTTTCTCTTGTAATAAATCTTCACTTTCACCATCTTTTACAAAATCTTCATCACTGCCATCGTCCGCGTCATCATCAACGCGTTTACGTTCTTTCTCTTTTGCAGCGTCATTCACAGTTCTATAATTGTTACTATCGGCGCCGTACTTATCAATCTTGTCATCGACGTCAGAGTGACGAAGCCTGTCTTTCATTTCTTGCATCTTTTTGAGCTGGGAGCCTTGAAGTAAATTCACACCTCGGTCTGGTTTCGATTTAAATGACATGAAATCATAAAACAAATAAAGTATTAAACTCATTGAGACCAGTAAGATAGCCACCCTTGATAAAGAAAGTCTCCTTCCGTATAGATGCATTTCCATTTAAAGCTTTGAAAGATTGTAAAAAAAATATGAATACTGTGTTGTTATATCGCGAAAATGTATGACATCCGTGCCGAAGGTCGCGAAAATGAATTAAATCCGTGCCTCAAGTCGCAAAAATATTAAGTCAGCGCCATTAAATAACGTATATACATACGAAACAAACGTTTTACATGTTAATTTTAATTTATCTTAATCAATATAGCCTTCCAAGATGTTACATGTCAAAGTACGGATTCGTAATTGATTGTTTAACTGTAACAGCAGACATTTTGATTTTCTTTCTTAATTAAAAACAGAGGTTTTAAAGATTTGAAAAGACAAATGATATTTGATAACAGGGTTAATCATGAGAAATATCATCAGGCATAAAAAAGTATCAGATACACGTGTTGTCAACATTATATGTGAATCAATCAAAGTTTACAGTGCCCCTTCATTCTTGTATAAGAACCTATCAACTTAATATAGAAAAAGAATTGGACAATCCGTGAGTATTTGACTATATAATTTAAATGCCATAACCAACTGCAGTGCAACAGGTGTCAAGTTTGTGTAACAGCATAGAACTGTTCTTTCTTCTTTTTTGAGAAAATGTATAAACGGGGGCAAAGCTTAGTTCGTAGAACCGCGGAACGGAATTCTGAGGGTCCCGGACTCTAGCCCCGGTCAGACTGCATTTTTTTTATTTCATCTTGTGATATTTGTCGCCCGACATAGGACCGTTATGGTATATATAGCTCCAGTGTGGCTGGGAATTACTCTCTGTAACTATTATAGAAAATAAATAAAGTTGGGGACTGTGTCACGTTACAGAACTGTTCACTTATTAATTAATTAATTTCTTTGTCACGGATTTCATGTATTTTCGCGACATAACAGCACAGATTTTGTACATTTCCACGACCTGCCTATTTTTTCAATGCGTAGGCGGTCAAATACCTCAGTTTGTAGAACACAAAAAGGTATTTCGGGAGTTCGATTAGGCTTCACATGTTTCTAACTCTGTGACATTTTTGTTGTTGTTTGTTTGATTTTACGTCACACCGACTCAGTATAGGTAATAGGGCGACTTTCCATTTTTTACTGGTGGAGAAAGACCTCAGGTGTCCGCCCGTGCATTATTTCAGGCACGAACGGGCATTTGCGAACGACCGACGTTCCGTAAGCTAGCTGTTTGTTGTCGTTTTTAATTTAAAGCCAAGCCTACAAAATTGATGTTTTTTTGTTGCTCGCAACACTGTTGTTAGTCTTTCTTTATTTCATGTAAGTTACTGTAGTTTTGCGGTCAACCCTTGAAATATATAAAGTATATATTGCCCTTGCAAACAAACAAAAATCTCTTTTAGTCATTGAATCTAAACTGATTGTGTTTGTAAATTAAACGAAAAATTTTTTCACTTAAACACCAAATGGTGTAAAAGACTAACTTTATCATTCCAGAAGTATTAACAATGTATGTTATACCAGTACTTTTACATCAAAAATGATATTTGCACTTAATTCATTATGAAAAAATTACCTTTGTCCCTGTTCTAATTTGAAAAAATAAAACTCCAAAGGGAGGCAAGGAAAACATAAGTTTCATTTGAAGTATGTAACTGATGCTGTTAAGTTTTTATGCTAGATATTCCGCGAACCTCTAATGTTCGCGAAAGTTTTCAATTTACAAAATAATGAAATTAAATCCCTCGCGAAAATTTCAGATTGTACAGTAGTTTTTGAAAAATGGCTGTACCGTTTTCATTATTAATATCAACGTTTCAATTATTTTATTTAAACAGAAATTACAAAAAAAAAATTAAACATTGCAACACGTATACCTGAATATTCCATCTTGTATTATAATGTTTTCATAAACAAGAGCACCGTATGCGCTGTTAACGCTCGTCTTTTTAAGATTCTAAGTTAGAAGGGGTTAACCTCCAAAAATAATGCTTTCAGAATTATGCCCCTTGTCAAACAAATGCACCTTGTGTTAACCAACTATTCCAGATTTCACGTTGATAACTTTTAAAATGTTTGAGTAATGGGCTATGTTAAAGATTAAGCACACGGCGACGCAGTGATAATGATATATGGATTTTTTCTTCGAAACAGACGAACTAAATTGACATTTAAAACTCACTTAACATCAATAATTAAACAAACTGAATAAAAGAATTGTAGATTACTTTTTACTATTCTAATGAATAATTGTTGTGATGACAGGTCACACTAGTTCATGAGACAGAAAATGAAAGGACAACATGATGTGAGTTGACCAATTTTATAACTCTCGTATATACAATAAAATGCTATACAATACAATATAAACAAATAAACGTGATAGTGACAGATAAAATGATATACAAATTTGATAACTCTACAACATTACATAAACTGACGACAAAAAAATACCACACAACAAACTCTCTTAAAAAAAATTAAACATATTTTATATAGCCGAGATATCACAGACTAGAAGTCAATATTTGTTTGATTATTCCGATTAGCAATGTCCTACAAGAGAATAAAGTTCCGTGTCGGACCAAAAATAATCAAGTGTGCAATAGATGCGTGTATGCGATTGTTCTTGATTATTCCTGGAGTTCTCTCAGAGCGATGCGCTTCGTAAGTATTGTTTCATCATAATCAAGCGTGCCTTCAATATATGTGTTCGATTATTCTTCGAATTCACTCATGAGTTCAACAAGAGCGTCCAGTTCATCCGGTGTCGGATCATAATGATCAATAGTGCCATCATCGTTAACAATTATACCTGGCATATATTTGTTCGTCTGCTCGCGCACGATCTTCTTGGAATCGAGGTATTTGTCAGTGAACGCCCGAATACATGGACAGCAAATGAGACAACATGGGCAACCTGAAATAAGTAAGACATGAGCAGTAAAACACAATACTTTCAGATACTGTACAATCGTATCTTCTCGGCCCTTTCCGTCAAACTTCGGATAATAATTGTAAATAGCCGAGATGTTCCGATTGTGTCCTGTACTGAATATAATTACACTGAGACATAAGATAACCAACTGTCGTAAATAATAACAACATATGAATTCTATCCGACCAATTTAAATATATGTCCTATGCTTTTAATGTTGGAGGCATTTAACGATTTTTATTACAGACCACATGTAAGTTTGGAGGAATAATTAAAATATTCATTTTGTGTCTACAGTTTACTAGTATAAGTAAATACTTTGTCTTTCTCTTTCTAAGAGATTTCTACCATAAAAATACAACTTAGTTCATGCATAAAGCATTTGGCACACGTCAATCAGCAATATTTCGGCCATTTCCGTCATTGTAATCGCAATCGGAGCACCTCGCCGATTACCTATATCATTTACCTTTTGCCGATGTATGGCGGAAAGAGCCAAAACATTGCGATTTTCACTAAAATGATTTTGCGCCTGGATAAAAACAAACCTGTTCCAAAAGCAAATATGCAAGCCACTGGATCTCGGAGGAAACAGATTCCAACAAAGACAAAGAAGGCGACGGAGAGTAAAGTCCATCCTGCGTATTCAGCCGCCTGTTTGTACGTGTTGAGTTGTGCTCTTCGAATTTCGTCGTCACTCACTTCCTGTAATAAACAATTAACATGTATTATATAGGAAAAAAAACAAAAGCCAAAACAAAAAAAACAAAGATTGAAAAAAAGAACCAAAAAAACATAAAACAACGGACAATCCACGAACTGAAAAAATGCAAATTTTGAAGCACAGACATCCCCTCCACACACACACAAACAACAACAACAACAAAAAACAACATCAAACACCACCACAACAACAACAAAAAGAAAAAATTCCATGCCTACAAATCTACGAATTTAAGTGAATTCACAGTTAACAACAACAACAACAACAACAAAAAAGAAAAGAAGCACACCCTGTAATGTCCATGTACATAAGAAACAAAACACAGCAAGAGATTTAGTTAAGAGTAGGACACATAAAGTCAAATAAATTTTACGACAATATAGAATTTTCCTATATCTTCAACAGACAATAAATTGTTCTGCCATTCAAGTAATGATAGTCTTTTATGGCGTCATTTCGACGACGTCACTTTGCATGACTTTAAGCCAACAAAAACCAGGATCGCTAGATGCCACTCTGAGGGCAGTCCTCTTTTTACATATATGGTAAACAAGTAAAGGTAATAACCAATTAAAATGTATACTTTAATTGAAAAAAAACCCAACAACATAACACTTATAATTTGTAGTCTACAAATTCATTGGTCATACCATCCACAAAATTTTGTGTTGCGAAGCCTAAAATCTTCATGTTTATAAATCAATTTGTTAGGACATTACTTAATGAGTATTCTTTAGAAATGTTCCTTTGACAAAGTGTATAGAAATAGGTGCACCATGATGAAGTGATGTTTAGGAATAGGTGCGCCTTGAAAAGGTTTACAGGAATAGTTGCACTTTGACTAGGTGTTCAGGAAAAGGTGCACTTTGACGAGGTGTTCAGGAAAAAGTGCACCTTGGTGAGGTGTTCAGGAATAGGTGCGGCTTGATGAAGTGTTCAGGAATAGGTGCGCCTTGACGAGGTGTTCAGAAATAGATGCACACAAAGAAAGTAAAATTTTGAAATTAATACATGTATTACCTCCCAAATGTCTGGCTCTTCTTCATCAGATTTTCCCGGCTTTGCACCGGGAAGAGAATTCCTCCATTGCTCACGCGCTGACCTCTTTTTCCTGAAAATTTTTTGCAAACCGGAAACGCTCTCAATATTATGTTCACTATCAGTGACGTCATTATAGCGTGAATGGTCATCAATATCATGAAAGTCTTCAAGTGATGTACTATAAACATCATCTTCGTCAGCGTCATTTTCGCTGTAATTTTCATTTTCTTTGTCTAAATAATCATGCACGGGATTTTCGTGCAAATCGTGTGCTTTATTAGCACCAACCGTAGCTTTGCTGTCGGCAGTTCCACTGTCCTGAAATTCATTATAAATAAAATAACTGTATCGGGTGTTTAGTGAAAACGTTTTAAAACTAGATAGTAAAATTAATAAACCACTCAGTCAGGTGTAAGATCCTTTATTATAACTTACAGTAAATATGTGCGCGTGATAAATTAGAAATGAATCGACTGTAATATACATGACAGGAGTTATTTTTAGTTTTTTTTAACGTAGTGAATAATGGGAGAGAAGTCTTGAATGTCGATAAATTAGAACTGCTTAAGTTAGCTCCCTTACACATTGTGCATTTAATATGTACATGTATGTTAAAAAAATCGAAAAATAAATAACTTTGATTATCAAATTTGACCATTTTGTAGCCATTGTCCAAAATATCTGAACAAAGACCACTGAAAGTATTTCATCATAACATTGTTGAGTTATTTCATTAAATATAACTACATGTATTATTATTTCAGTGACATCAAAGTTATTTTAAAATATAAGTGACGCCATAGCATCAAACCAACCTGATTATTGTCAGCATTGTTGCTAGTGTCTGTCAACTCAAATAATCTCTCGTGTGTCTCCGACAAAGGTATATGACCCTGCTCTTTATCATCTGAAAATAATAAGGAAACCTTTGTATTATTTGAAAAGATTTTGCTTTTAAATTCATGCAGTTTAGTACTTAAAATTAACTTCTGAAAAAAAATGTTTTTTTTTATCAAGGATAGAGAAACTGATATAATAAGTTGCTGAGTATTTATTTCAATTAAAACTTCCTTACACAGAGCTAAAAAACATATCCCTTTGTCCAATCATTTGTCCTGCAAAAATGTTTGATAATAGTGTTGCAAGTGATGGGAGAAATCCGGCATAAATACATATTAGTTAAAACAGCAATTATTTTAGCTGAATCAAAGGTTTTTTTTTTAATATATAAAAGGCGATTCCAAATTGAAATTTTCTTTAAAATCTTGCAGATTTTCCAAAAAAATCCTTACTTATACGAGGTTTTTTTACTTTCCAAAATAAGCAGTTTTAGCGATGAATTTTTACAAAAGTCAAAAGACTAAGGTCTCTTTCTAATAAAGAGAGGAAATCTCCTGTACATTTGTGCTGAAAGCTTAAAGATTGTTTGAAACAATCTCAAATCCATTTCCTCGAACCAATCGGTGTTGGTGCCATATGAGGAAACACGGATGTAAAGCCAGTAGGACTCAAACCTATGACTCCTTGGTTGAAAGGGCCCAAAGGCAGACTGCAGACACCTTTACACCACTAAGTAAGGTACAGCTCTCATTGACTTATAATTACAACCCCTGACTTTATTAAAGATTTAATGGACTTTTTTTTATTTGTATAAATTAACTAAACTTAAGCTTTGAATAGTAAAAATGTTTCTTAAAGGCACATTATGCCTAAGTCTAAGAAAATCCATATATTTTTAATTCTTTGGAAAGGTCAAACATGTGTTTGGTAATGTTTAACAATTAAAGACAGTAGCGCTGAAAGTACAATAATGTGCCCGTAAGGAAGCAAAATGTAAACAAAGTAGTATTTTGACTAACACTTCCATACAAAATATTAATTATACCAATTGTCAACAGAGCAGAAGAAACAAAAGATTGTTCATTTAAATGGCAAATGAGTGTTTTTGGAAACTGTACTGTAACAAGGTTTCAAAACTGAAAAGTTTTCGGGAATAAATTTATAGCATTTTTTAGGCATAATGGGCCTTTAAATAAAACATAATAACTACCTACCATCAACTGCAAAGAACTCCTCGTGCTTTACCACAAATGTTATACTCCGTGCTTCACATCCTGTATTTATTTAATAAGTAAAAGATAAATAAAACATAATTATAATAATGAAATGAAATGAACGGACATGAAAATAACCAAACAGAACCAATTATTGCTAAAAGAAAAACACAAGAGAAAATGACAAGAAAGAATATAAAGATTACAAAATATTTCCTAGAAATAACTTTGAATGAAAGCAATTCATTTTTAAAATTGAATAAGTTAATTGGGGAGAGGCATTAGCCACTTGATTTGGGAAAACATATCGTTAACATTGTTAATTTGGGAAGTAAAAAAGCAGGTTGAAGTTCACATTTTTGGGAAAACTGCATGATTTTAAAGAAATTCCCAATTGGGAAGAGGCCTGTTATATAAGCAGGAAAATCATTGAGAATAATATAAACGATACTATAAGCAAAAAGTAAAAATAACCATAAATATTTCGCACTTTCTTAATTTTAGTAAAGAACTCAATGACAAGTCTACAATGGCCAGATAATAAAAAGATATCGGTTTAACAAAGAAAAACAGAATCTCTAAAGAACGCCCAAAACGACAAAATAGAGAAAATATGAATCCCTAAAGAAAGTCCAACAGGGCAAATTTGAAAATGTTGCAGGCTCGGTTTGATTGAGCCTGTGCATGGACGGTTCTGTCAAGTGCAAACTACCGTCCACGCCCCCTAGCACCGGTTTAAGCAGAATTCAACATTTAACATTAAAGTCTCCTTCATGCTTAAAAAGCGTATTCTATAATCTATTTACTAATTTAAAAGTTCTTGTTAATTATTGAAAGAAATAACAACCAATCATTATAAATGAGTTCAAAGCTTTGAAAGTAGTCTTAGACTTTCAAGTGACTCGATCTACTCACGGGTACTAAATCGGTTCTATAGAAAGTAGGTGAAATACATTTTGTTTTGGTCTATCCGGTAACTGTTCCTATTTCAGAGTTTCAATTCGAATATCACAAGATACTACGTAAGAAACGTTTTATTAGCTTTATTTACACTGGAAAAATGAAGTGCTGAATACTTACGTCCTATGATTATAAGTAAAGTCATGAATGAGTTCAGGAGCATCACATCGTCTTTGCATTTTCTTCTAGAATTCCTATTATTTTCAAGATGCCTCCATTGTTGATGTTATGACGTAATAGAATCTATATGACGTCATCACATTTTCGTGTAGTCTTGTGGAGTATGCATGCATCATCGCCATGCACTTTCTTTCAAAAAGTATTTCTTTCAAAACAAAAAAGAAATATATAAAAAGTCGCTCTAAAATTGTTGTTTAGAAATGAATTGCAGATTTAGAACGAGACAGGATGTAGAGATTATTTTATATATCTAGGTTATCAAGTTTACGTGTATTTACGTGTAGAAAAAAATGAAAGTTTGATTGATAGATTTTTAAAAATTCTTTAAATCAAGATAGAATCTATGTGAACGGATAATGCCTTGAAATTGTGTATTTTCATCAGTAATTACTTAAAATTATGTTGAACTGATTGACATCCAAAGCAAGATATAGAGGATATTTGTTTGTTTGTGTGTAAGATGAAATTTTATTTCATCGAGTGGGCTTTAAAAACAGTATTCTCACGAGTGGCGTAGCCACGAGTGAGAATACTGTTTTTAAAGTTCACGAGATGAAATAAAATTACATCTTACACAACAAACAGACAAATTTTCTTTTTATTTTATGCTTAAAAACAAGTTAAAACGAAATTTCCATAATTTTAATGTTAATATTAAAATCTGTTTCCCCCATTGAGAGCCCCATTTAGACGGAATTTCTCATTTAAATCAAGAAGTCTTGAGCTGAAAAATAAGTCTGCCAATCAAGGTTAAATGACGGTGATATTTATTCATTTTATTAAAAAATATGAATGATCGCTTGTTTTAATGATAAAAACAAACAATTCTTGTAGGAGAGAAAGTCCAACCATCCATCCATACTTCTGTTACTTACTGCGAATTTATATTAGACCTGGCTTTGTAAAATGTAAGCGGCAGCCATTTTTTAAAGTTGTGTATTTCATGGGGAGGAAAATAATTGTGTAAGATTCCGAAGGATATAATTTGGATTTGTTAGTCATACACCTTTTTAAAAGAAAGAAAACTTATTTCAGGATTTAGTTCTGGCTTCCATAACTTTATATGTCGCTTTTATTTTGACGTTGCGACAGTAAAGTTATGGGTCAACCCTATTTGCAAAGGCTACCAGAATTTTACAGTTCGTGCGCCGTACATAAAAAACCTATCAAAATCACCCTTATTAATCAAATTTGGGTCAAATAAAAATACCATTTGATAAACAAATCGATTTTGAACCAATTCATGTTTTGTTTATAAATGAAACTTCAATGACATTGTGTACCCAACTATGTTTGAGAGAAATATGTAGAGAATGTTTATCAATATGGAGTCTGTTCCAAATGAGATCTCGCGGGACTTCATGTTTTGGAAATTCTAGCATCTATTTTTAGTAACGCACCGTACACTATTTTTAGTAGGTGTATGATTTTATATAAAAACAAACAAATAATTCATGAATCATCACTCAAAACAATATAAATCCAACATGTTTTTGGTACAATGTCTGTTATTGAATAAATACACCATTATTCATAATTGCAAAGCCATGTTTTCAATTAAAAATAGCATTTGGGTCACGTGTCACCAAATGTCATGCAAAGGTATCCGAACCTAAATTCTCGCTGGTCACGTGATTATTAGGGCAGCAATGGCGGCGAATTTTATGAAATGTGAACCCGCTGATAAACTTTGAGGCAATATTTCATCAATCTAACATTCTGTGTTCAAAAATATAGACTGAAGGGTCCCAAATATATCTAACTACCTGTATTAAAATAGTTTTTGTCCAAATCACGCAAATTTATTGAATTACAGCATGACATAAAAATGTCACGGCTCTGGTTGACTTTCGATACGGGGTTGGCTTCAGCGAACAGGTCTAGCAATTCTATAAAACCTGTTCGCTGAAGTATCTTTAGCTATTCAGGATTGTAACAGACAAAAAATACGTGTTGACAGAAGTGTAAACATTCAGAAAAGGAGCTAGGAAAATGGAAAACTTGGAAGCTTGCTAAGGACATGAAGGAACGCTGGGATGTTTTACTTATTTTACGAGTGATGGCTGTCAATGCTTTTCAATTTTTCATAAAGCATACGGCAGTTTTTGCTCGTAGGATACTTTAATATGCCCAAATGTCATCAAGAGCAGTTTTGCATGGGGAAGGAATGTATTTTTCAGACTGTAAAAACAAACAAAAAATTTAGAGACGAAATTTGGTAATTGGAATTTGAAGGAATAGAAGTAAGTTTTCTCTCTTTAGTACTTTTGACATTCAAGTTATTTATCTATTTCAGCTTTGCTATTTCTTTGAACAGCCTGACATTGTCAGAATTGTCAGTAAAAATAAAATTGAGGTACCACATGGGGAAAATCTTAAAAAAGTAGTTTCGTCATTGAAAAAAGTGAAATTATATTTTGATAATTTTCACTGTGAAATTATCAAATATAATTTTCACGGATAAATCAGTAATCCACTGAAAAGCATAAAATAAAAGCCCATTCTATACAGAAAGAATAAAGAAAGCCTTAAGTATTATCGATAGGCCTATAATTTAAAACGTTATTAGAGATACTTTATTATCTAGGCCTATAATTTAACGTTATATACACGTACGTTTTGGGACATTCGTACATTATTTTGTCTACACAAGCGAGCACCAACCTCCTACTAACAAGGTTCTCCGTTACCGGAGCGGGATGCATTGCAATTGGTACCAGTAGACTACACGCCTGGCAAACTGTCGCTCCACTTCAAAATTGTGGTGTACGGTAAAACGAGCGAACGGCATTTCCGATATTGAGCGGAAGGCCGATTTTAACGCCTAATTGTAAGTATTGTTTATATGTTTTTGTCTTGTTATTTATTTAAGTTGTATTTTTTCGAAAAACGGAAAATGTAGTTCCGTGTAGGATTGATTTAGGCTTCCAATGATCTAACCTGTTACAAAAAGAAAATTATATTAAGCCCGGGAGAACTTTTCTCCCTGGCGAAGCGAACGATGATTTGTAGAATATTGAACTTCCCAACCATAGAAATGCCATACCTTTCGGATTTCTTGAAAAAGTGTATTAGTAAATTATCAACCCGTAATAAGAACTTGTCCTTCGTGCAAAATAAATTACTCTTGAAAGATTTCTTAAATTTGTAAATCGATATTTTTCGAAAGTAGTGGGGCGGAAGGGCAAGAGATGGAGCAAAAGGTTCGATGTTGAGCGCAAGGCGATATTAATTTGACGTATTAGGAGGAACGTAGTCGATGATTTCTATAAATAAAAGCTATAGAAGTTAAAATAGACATGATCAAGTGTTAAGACCGAGATATATATACCTTTTAAAGAGAACTAATTTATTGTGATGTCCTTTCAACGACTATAGCGTAATAACTGTAATCTCGAAGGTGTCACCTATGGCTTCCGTGTAGATTCCATTATTTATGTTCGAATTTTGGATGAGGCCCGACCATTGAATCATACACATGTATGCATGGCATACTACAGGATGCCACTTATTCGAGGTCAATCATGATTTTTGACACGGTTATGTACATTTAAAAACGTGTGTCCGTGCAAATTCGACAAAATCTAATATTTCTAGTGCTACCGCGAACAAATGTTTCCGAGCAGGTACGTGTAACTCGATTGTTCACGCCAAAATGTTATGTTTTTCGAAAATTTAGAAATTCAAGGTGCAGAACAGAAACAAAATTATGCAATGCATGGAACGCATTGAATTAAATGGATAACTACTACCGAGTTCAGTTCACAATGACTTTCTGTAATTAATAGCTCTAACGTACATGTTCTGAGCAAAACACAAATAAGTCACGTTTTCATGAATTTGAAAGGTGGGGAATCGCTATGAAAATGGTTGAAAAGGTGTCAGTCGTTATAAGGATATAACACGTGTTCCAGTTATGTTTCAAGATACTTCCTCCCTTATTTAGCATTGTTGTTTAGTTTATTATTTTCCTCTCAAAGTGAGGCAGAACTCAGTCGGTGTACGGACTAAAATTATCAATAATATAATAGACCTAGCTATAGTAGAAATTTCTATTTACACTGACAGACGAAAATAATAAACTAAACAACAATGCTAAATAAGGGAGGAAGTATCTTGAAAAATAACTGGAACATGAAAATGATCATCATGCATGCATTCAGAGTCAGTAAAATAGTGCCAATTTTTCCATTTTGATCAGTAGAGGTTCCTTACATGCCATGATCTTAATATTTACTTACCTAGTGGGATTTGAGCCCTAACGACGGTCAGAGGCAATTTTAGAGTCAATGCAGGGAGGTAAGTAAAGTAAAACTTTTTACTAACTACTAACTATTCGGCAGTTCGTCCATAATTTAATTTCTTTCTTTACAACGCTTAAACTATATACTTGATATATTACATGTAAGGGAACAGAAAAAAAACAGAGCTACGAAATCTGCGTAAAACATTTTATTATATTAATATTTATTAGCTCTACATTATTTAAAGAAAGTTGAAAATGAAAAGAATATATATCCGTAATCTTTCTTCTCGTCACATTGTTCAGCTGCAGTTATCTGAAAATACAACAGCATTATAAATATAAATAAAATATATTAGCCGCGTCACGACAAAACCAACATAATACGTTTGCGACCAGCATGGGTCCAGACCAGCCTGCGCATCCGCGCAGTCTGATCAGGATACATGCTGTTCGCTTAACAACTCTTTTACAAGTATAGAGATACTGATAGCGAACAGCATGGATCCTGATCAGACTGCGCGGATGCGCAGGCTGGTCTGGATCCATGCTGGTCGCTAACGCACTATGTTGGTTTTGTCGTGACGCGGCTCAACTTTTATGTTCTTGAGAGGTTGTTTAAAAAGTTTTCCCCCTATATACAGTACATCAGCTGCAGAGGAACACACTCGGGTGAGACAAAAAAATAATTTTAAGTTGTTGCTAAGAGTTGATTTGCTCTAGTGAGATTTAGGCCTATTTCAAAGTACACCTTAAGAGGGCCGTTTTTCAGAGGTGGCATTTTTATAGTAACCACAAATTGGATAAAATGAACCACAATTTGGATAAATTGTAGAAAAGAAAATTATTTTGATTATTGTTGATATAAAATATTAAGGTTTATTTCTTTGCAAAGTCTTACTTTGAGGAAAAAATTGAATCTTTTGTTGTTAAGGTTGAGGTAACTGCTTTACAGGGGGTGTTCTACTGAGGTTGCAATATATATTCGTCATAAATTGAAAACTTAGAAGCGTTTAAAGCTGCACGCCTCCAGATGAGCCAAAATATTTCAATAAAATCAATATTGAGAAAAATGCACTAAAGTTTTAAGAAAGGTTAAAACATTTAAGGTCCAAGTTATATTTTACATGTTATGTGCGGTTTAACACTGATTTTGCAGTATTTTATCACTATTTTTCTACTGCGTTACTAACGCAGTAAGGGCTGTTTTTGCATATGTTGGCCATTTTTTGGTAATATTCGTGGATTGTAAGTGCCGATTGCAATATGTAAATTACTTATTTTGTTCACCTCACATTATTTTACCTTTAAATACATTTTCAATTTTTTTTTGAAATTTAACATGAATCTGGAGGCGTGCTGCTTTAAAACAAATATTAAGTTATTTCTCCAACAAACACTTTACTGGGGTGTAGCTCTACTGAGCTTAAAATCAAAGTACATGAACATGTATGTTGCAAATATGACTATAATCTTCAGGATGGTGGTATAATAAATAATCAAATCAAATCAAAGAAGTAAGTCCAGTATATGCAATTCATACTTATGACGTAATATGCAAGTTTCATCGAAAAGAATATAGAATACTTTGAGTGTTATATATTTATGAATTAGAATAAGAGTGCTTGTAGAACTTTAATGCTTGTAATACTTACTTTGTCCACATCAAAGTGTAGATTACTCTTCACGTAGATGTCCAAGATACCAAAAACGTTATCACCATCGCCAGTTATGCCATTATCGTTAGTAGAATTGCCAGTGATGTAATTCCTAGCTGTTGTAACATCGAGTTCATCTTGATCTTGGAGAACTATCGCTTCGATGTCTTCAATGCCAATGTCTATATTGTCCATGATTTCATCATCCGATTCTATTATGTCTACGACTTCGTCATCTAATTCCATATCAACTATATCTTCCAATGTGTCACTGTCTGACATTTCATCAACTGTGCCTTTATCAACACTTTTTGAATCAGATTCTATATCTACATTGTCATTAGGGGTATCCAAGGAAGGCATTAACTTATCTGGTTCTATATGTACCGGTACAACGGTCTCGGGTTCATCGCTGTCTGACATTGTATCAGTTGACTCTACATGTACACCTGTCTCAAGTGTAACACTATCTATATCTTCATCTTCATCATGTAAATCACTTACACTGCCTTGTTCTCTTTCTCTGTCTTCTCGTTGTGTAATTTCTCCATTTGTGGCAGGTTTGGTTTGAAGACTTTCTATGCATACTCTTTCACCACACTCTTGATCTACAGTTGAAATTTTGACAACTTCCGAAATGCATTCTTGGTCGTTAAGTCCAATGTCAGCAATGTTTATGTCATTATCTTTAGAAATCATGACATATTTCTCAATGGAGTCTGGCAGACGTATCTTTGTATTTGTCACCTCGTCTGGTACGCATGTTCCAGTATCGTCTTCAGCATTCGTCTGTTTTGAAAGGTCGTTTTCGCATAAACTTTCCTCCTTTTCTAACGTATCTGATGTACTTTCCGCAAAAATTTCAGAGCCTCGTTCTGAATTTGCGAAATAATCCGCCAAATATGCGTCGTCTGCAAGACTCAAACACGATCCAGTTGCTTTCGGTTGCCAAATTTCATTTGGTTTGGGAACATTAGCCTCTTCATCGACAGCAATTGCTAGCATTTCATTTTCATAAGCTTTATCAATGGCATCCCGAATTTCCTTTATAGATAATTTGGCTCTTAATGCATCAAGACATGTTTTATCAAACTTGTCAAAATCAATATCAGGTTTGATATTTGGTTCCGCCGATACTTGACTTTCAACCCCTGTACTTAGTTTAGTACGTGCAACAATTTCATTTCTGTCCTTTACGTCTGGAATAAGAACATCATTTATATTAAGAGTCGAAATCTTTTCTAATTTGGCTTCAACAGTATCAGCGTCATTTTTATTATTTTCTGGTTGTACCTGCTTTGTAAGTCCGGTTTCTGATACTATTGCTGAAGCTGTTTCAGTTTCCAATGGTGTCGTACTATAAAAAGAACTGGCAAGTTGTAACATGTGTCTATCGATGTCTGTTTGGTTATTTGTGTCTCTACGGAACTTCTCACCAGGTTCAATGGTATCTTCACTGACGTTTTCAGTGGCACCTGTATCTTTCCTGTCTCGTTGATAGTAGCTTTTCTTGAACTTTCTGGTGGCATATTCTACTGAGGTAATCAACTTTTTGCCATCTCCAACTGGAGGTTTTTCTATGGTTACACCGGACCTGTTTCCAATTCCAATGTGCAATACAACTTTGTCGAAGGTGGCGCTAGTAGGGATGATGACGTCATCATTGTTAGCACTAATGAGGATATCTGTAACAAAAATGAAAAAAATGTGAAATTAATCAAATGAAACTGGGAGTACTTTTCAAACATACAAGAAGGAAACAATAGGCCTATTAATACATATGAATGACATCATTTCTTTTAAACTCTAAATATAGGCGCATACTCAGTCATTTTGTTCTTTAAGCGCACATTTAAATCAGACGCATATTGCATGGCCAATCTTTAAGCGCATATCACAAAAAGGCGCATAATCCGTGGCTTGTGTTTAAGCGCATTTCAAGGAATAAGCTAATAAAAACTCCACCTAATCATTTATAAGCGTATACGCTTATTTTTGAGGTTCTACAGTATCTAAAATTTGCAATACCACTGTTGCCAGATTAGTACTGGTTCTATTTTGATCGAATACACAGGTTATCGGCGTGGGAAAAAACACTACCACAGGGGCCATGACCCTCTTTACTCTTTATACATGCACTATAATTTATGATAATCTGCGATCGAATACTAGTATACGATCTAAAAAAAGTCAACCACTGAACATTAACACAGTACTATATTTGATCAACTTTTGAAAAAGAATGAACCAGTTATCACCAACACATCACTGCATTTGATCGAGAAACAAGAAGATACTCGACCAAAGTAAACCTGGTTTACTTGTATATGTTATTTCTAAGTTTTGATCCATATTTAATTATTTGAAATAATAAACATTGTGGTTATTTATTTTGAAAAATGAATAACTGTTGTGTTTTGGTAAGTGAACTCAATTTTTAACACCAACGTCTACGCAGTCAGTTGGGAATTATATTTATAAGTACTTGATTAATATGCAAAAATATATGCAAATTTCAAACATTAAAAGTACTAGACCTACAAGACACTTACAAAGAACCAAAATTAACGACATTTAGGTCACAACAATCTGATTTTATATCAAATTATAATTCTTTATTATTATTTATTATATACTTATAAATGAAATATTGAGAAATATTGATGAAATAAAATGCGTATTTTTATTTTCCGTATTTTCACTGTAAAAATTTATTTTTCACTGCAGTGAAACATATTTTCCGTATTTTCACTGGTGTCTGGCCGGACTACTTTCTTTTAAATTCTGCCTGTACACAAAATTTAAGGGAAAGTCTTTCAAATTTTAATGTCAAAAAAGAGAAAAATGTATATAATAAACACAAAATTCAAGTTTTTTCTATGAAAACATGATTTATTTTCATCTTGTGGCATGAAAATTACCATATTTCACTCGTGGCTACCGCCACTCATGAAATATTTATTTTCATACCACTCGATGAAAATAAATCATGTATTTATAGAAAAAACTTGAATATCCTCTATTTATTATTATTTTTTATAATTATTTTATTTGTCATTTTTTTATTTATTATTTATTTATTTATTCATTCATTTAATTATTTATTATAATTATTATTATCATTTTTATTATTAGTAAAGTTAATAGTAATATTTCAATATTCATTTTTTCCCGTTAAAGGCCCACTATGCCCCCAGAAATGCTTTTTTAATTTTCCCAAAAAATTTTTATATTTGGTCTGCCGTATTTTAAAGTTTTTATAAACAGTTACTCATTGCCCAAATACCAGGGTTAAACTTTTGTTTTCTGTTGCCATTTATGGCAAAACCAGTACAAGTTATAGCAGATTACTTATGGATGCAAAATAAGCTAATGATTTTCTCCCATTACATTTGTTACTTTTATGACAAAATTCTTTAATAATTTAATTAAGTCAACATTTTTCAGCGCTAATTTTCTTCAAGTTGATAAGCATCTTAAATCTCCCATAAATTTGCAAACATTTATTAAAACTGTTATTAAAACTGATGTTTGCTTTTATCGAGCACATTTTTTTATTCGTTTTTGAGGAATTTTTAACTAGAGTGTAGTAACTCACCGATGCTAATTTATTTCTGACCCAGTAGAAATCAACGTACCCTTTAAATGCGCTTTCCGCTGAACGCTGGTTTTGGTTGCGGGATTTTCTCCCATTTCTTTTTAGAATTATTCGTCTCTATTACACTCAGCCGGGCGACATTTTTGCGGTTACTATGTTGTGTTTGTTACGTCACAGACAAAACATGCGGCGACCAATCAAATTTGTAGCGTCATGTGACGTCATGCGTCTTTTTGCAGCAGACGTCAAAATGAGTAAAGTCAGAAATCATCTTGATTTTATAGCACAGTCAATTTCAATAAGCTGATGCTGCATATTCGACGATCTAAATTATAAATAACTAAATGATTCAAAATATCATATTATAACTTAACAATAATAAATACGGAAGTCGAATGATGCCATATTGAATTTGAATTTTGGTGTTAGAAAGGGATAAAGATAAAGAGGACATACTAGCTTACAAAATTAATGTTTTTTTAGCATTGCAATAAGGCAAATTTCACGCAAATATGTTAGACAAGTACCATTATGCAAGACAGGCAGCATCACCTAAAAGGCCAAACTCATGTTTAAATAATGGATATAGAACATATTAAAAGAAGAGCTGAACACCCATGTATAAGGTAGCAAAATGTACACAAAGTGGTATTTTCACTTTCATACAAAATATTAATTCACTAAAACTTTAGTCAATGAGTCACTTTTTGGAACTGTACGTAAAAAAATACGAAAAATTTAAAGCTTTTGAGAAATGAAAATGATAGCATTTTGGGGCTTAAGACCGTTTAAAAAATTTTTAAATTTAAAAATACATTTCCAAAAAGCTTAAAAGGAAAATAAAATTGCATTTTTTTTCTAAAAATGGGGATAAAATGGGCGAAAAGAAAAAAATTTTAAAGGGTATAAGAAAAATGGTTCCAAGGGATGACTTGTAATTAAAGTCAGATCTGACGTAACATTAAATAGTTAGGTCCAAGGCGTAATGCAGCCCCAAGAGTTATTGCACATGATCAACAAAAAATGCGGTTGAAAATGTAAATGTGTGTTGCAAAATTTTCTGATTTTATGCTACAGCACAGAATATTGGGACTATTTCGGGGTATTTAAGTTATTTTACTGCAAAGGAGTATAAGACAAGTAGATAGGACTCATTGACATAATTATGATATTCATTTACCCTTAATAATGTACAATTTGTAAATTGTCTTAATTGCATTTCTTCCTTTTTTCATTCCACCATTGTTTATGTTTAAACGAAATCCTGCAATATATTCCTACATGTACTTTTTAATTTAAATGAAATAGCTATCCTGCCATAAATATGTGTGTAAATATCATTTCTTATCCAGGGAGAGGAACTATAATAAAATCTGGAAACAAAGCAATATTTTTTAAAAACAAATTAATAAAAATTTGAGCCCGGGGTTTTGTTTTTATCGATATATAATTTTCTTTCGTTCAAACCCCTTTAAATATTATTAAAAATTTGTTACATTAAGTGAAAATATTAAATTAAAAAAATATGTTTAAATAAAATGTACCCCTGCAAAAACGCTACCCTAGGGCAAAATTTAACTTCGCTTTCTTTTGTCTCACGTTTTGACTCTTTGTATGGATTTCGTTTCGTTTCGAACTTTTAAACTTAAAAATCAAATAATCGAATAACAATTTTCCTTATGGGCCCTTTAAAACTTTCATAACATGGCATTAGCCCAATTTTTCTCGAATTCTGAAACTGATAAAATTTTTTGGTACAATCGCCCCTTAGTGAAAATAACATGTTAACCCTTTCAAAATTTAATTTGGGGGTAATCATATTGCACTATGACATAGTAAACTTATCAAGCAACTCTTAAAATTTTCAAACAAAATCTCTTTTTTAGACAAATTCTAAAAGAAAAAAAAGATTACTTATAACAAAAAGTTTTAAATTTCCGGGTACCCTGGGCTTTGTCCCAGAAAAATTTCACAAAACAGTAAAATTTATCGAAAAATTTTACCCTGAATGAGTAAAAGTCTCTTTTTTGTTTTTGACTACAAAAAAGAGACTAAGTCACGTGGTTTGGCCCATAACTAAGGGGGAAAAGATTAAAATTGAATACCCAAAATTTTGTTGGTCATTGTTTATAATATAGGTTTTTCCAAAAAATTTCAAAAAGGGGGCCCCTGGGGTGAGGGGTAAACTTTTTGCCTACAGATCTGGGGCCCAAAAGTTCGATCCCCGTACTCCACACAAAAACTAAACAACAAGTGACTGAACAGTTTAATAACAGACAAAGATACAGACTAAAAGGAACCGAATATACATAACACAACCAGACACTAAACATGACGCAACATACAACTAGCGCTAAACATGACATAACATACAACTAGACACTAAACAGGACACAACATACAACTAGACACTAAACAGGACACAACATACAAGTAGACATTAACAGGTAACAACATATAACAAGACACTAAACAGGACACAACATACAACTAGACACTAAACAGGACACAACATACAACTAGACACTAACATGACTCATTCAACAAGACACTAACAGGACACAACATACAACTAGACACTAACAGGACACAACATACAACTAGACACTAAACACAACATACAACTAGGGACACAACATACAACTAGACACTAACAGGAACATACAACTAGACACTAACAGGACACAACATACAACTAGACACTAACAGGACACAACATACAACTAGACACTAACAGGACACAACATACAACTAGACACTAACAGGACACAACATACAAACTAGATACGCTAAAAGGACACTAAACAACTAGGACGCTAAACAGGACACAAACATACACAGACGCTAGACACAACATACTAACTAGGGACATAACAGGACACAACATACAACTAAGACACTAACGAGGACAACAACGTAACAACTAGACGCTAAACCGACACAACTATACCAACTAGTACAATGTCATGACACAAACAATACAACTAGAACGCTAAATGAGACACCAACATACAACTAGACACTTTACAGGACACAACATACAACTAGACACTAAACAGGACACAACATTTACAACTAGACACTACA